TATTTTAAAATAGAATGTATATAAGTTTTAAATGTCAATGTAGAGTTGCCAACTGCCCTTCCTTGGGAAAGATTGACTCTTACTATGGAAGTATGTGTTTCCTACTTATTTGGTATCACAATTTCCTTTCTTTCTTTTTTTAACCCTCACCCTATTTTTCATTAATATTGAGAGAGAAAGAGAGAGAGAGAGAGGGAGGGAGAACCATCAACCGGTCGCTTCCTGTACGCCCCCCAACCAGAGATTGAACCCAAAACCTAGGTGTGTGCCCTGAAATCAAACCCACAACCTTTCATTGTACAGCACAACACTCCAACCAAATGAGCCACACCGGCCAGGGTGAAATTTCCTTTCATTTATGAAATGCTGCTGATGGCAATTAGGAAATATTTTTATTTGGCAAAATGAAAATGCCTGCAATCGCTTATCAGTCCAATGTACTTTTTGTCCTGCTCATGCCTGTTCTGGGTACTCGGCCAAAGGGCACTGAGAATGTACCGCCCCAAATTATTGTTCCTGGACACCGTCCTGTCCGCCCAGAGGGATGTTATATTCGGTGTGTTCGGTATCCCGGGCCACCGCTCTCCCTAAGCAAACGCGCCCACCCATTTGTTTTCTTTTTCTATCTTTAAAATATATATATATACAGTATTTTATTGATTTTTTACAGAGAGAGGAAGGGAGAGAGATAGAGAGCTAGAAACATCGATGAGAGAGAAACATCAACCAGCTGCCTCCTGCACACCCCCCACTGGGGATGTGCCCACAACCAAGGTACATGCCCTTGACCGGAATCAAACCCGGGACCCCTCAGTCCACAGGCCGACGCTCTATCCACTGAGCCAAACTGGTTTTGGCCACCCATTTGTTTTCTATTTCCCAGAAGCGCGTGCTCTGGGAGCTTCAGGGCTGCGTCCCCAGCAGCCCAGCTCACAGCCACAGCAGTGACTAATGGTCCACCCGGGAAATAGGAACGGAGTGTTTCATAGCATCAGGAGCCCCTTCTAGGCCCCTGGGGGAAAGACACCATAGTTTCCCGCCCTATTGGAATCCGTAATGCCATTGGACAAACGAGACACCTACCAAAACGTCCAAAGACAACAAGAGGCAGGAAATCATAAACACCAACGGTCGCCAGGAGTCACACGGGAAGTATGGTTTTCCGAAAGTCGGAAAACAAAGAGATGTGTCTGGCTGGTGTCGACGGTGGTCGAGAGACTGTTCTGGAATCTAACCTCTCACTGGCGATGGCACTGCCCCAGGCTTAGGTCTCCGCGTCGCTCCAGGGTAATCGTCTTGCCTCCTTCAGACAGTTGTTCCGAAGATTAACAGGGCTGGACACGGAGTAAGCGCCCGTGAATATTTGGGATGTGCCCAACAGGGCCGTCATCCTCCTGGACAGGGTGACATGGGAGGAGGAAGATGCGAGGCCTGTTTAGAAAGGGGGAAATCTTTGCTGCTGGCTAGAGGGAAACGCGACGGCTAATCCAAAGGCTTAGCAGGAGAGGCGTTTGGGAAGGCAGGGCAAAGACTCTACCCAGAGAAGGCTGACGGGGAGCCGGGCTTCCTGTCCCTGCAAACCCCCCCTTGCTGGTCCCGTTTCTCAGGGACCCGCTGCTTCGTGTTCATCGCCACCCTGGGCGTCCCAGTCTTCCTCGCACATCTTTTGTGGCCCTCCAGAGAGCACACCGTTGTCCACAGCACGCCAGCACCAGCATGAAATAAGCCTCAGCTGGCCATATGCTAAGACAGTGGTCGGCAAACTCAGTCAATGGAGCCAAATGTCAACAGGACAACGATTGAAATTTCTTTGGAGAGCCAAATTCTTTAAACTTCTTCTAACACCCAGGCCGTGGTATGTTGTGGAAGAGTCACACGCAAGGGCCGCAGGTAGCTCGTGAGCCGCAGTTTGCCGACCACGGTCCTGAGAGAATGAGCCGTGTGGAGTGGCCGCCAGGGGGCCAGTGGGAGCTCAGTTCCCATGACCTGAAAGGTGGCCTTCCATACGGGGGAGGCACAAGCCCATCTAGCACTGGTCCCGTCACACCCGCTGGTCCCGTCACTCCCACTTTGGAAGAGGAACGTGGACCACCCACTCTGCCTAGAGGCCCTGTTATGTCCTAACAGGGTCTTGGGGAAAAGCAGATGGCAGAGGGTGGGGGTCCCGGCTGCCCACAAACATGGACAGTTCTGCAGATGAAGAAGAAAGCGTGCGTGCGTGTGTGTGTGTGTGTGTGTGTGTGTGGTGTGTGTGTGTGTGTGGTTCTACAGGGACAGAACCAGGAGTGGCCCCTGGAAACCAGAGGCCGCCAGCTGAGCCAAGGACTGGCGCTTTCAGAAAAACAGTCCAGGCTGGAGGGAGCAGAGGAGTGGGCTGCATGGATGGGTGCTGTGCCCCATGCCAGAGGTGACCACCTTTTCTGCTGCTCCCAGGGATTGTTTAGGTGGAGGTACTCCCCAAACAGCTCTGTGTCTGCCACTCGGGGAGCACAGATAAAACCATCCTATCGAATAAAAGGGTTATGTGCAAATTAACTGTCACTCCGCCACAAAGATGGCAGTCCCCATAGCCACCAGATGGCAGCGCCCAGTCCTCTCAGCCCCGCTGGAGTCCCCCAGTCCTGGGGGGTGGCCCCTGAGAGCAGGCAGTGTGAGCGGCCAGGCAGAATGCCTGCTTTATCGCCTCGTCGATGGAGGACCTCTGGGCCCTGGAGAGCCTCTGGGCAGTGGTTGCAGAGCGGCCAGGCCCCTCAGAGAGTTACTGGCGCACAAATTCGTGCACAGGGCTACCAGTGAAAAGATAAGGCATGTGAGAACCCCTTCCCTCAGGCCCCAAAGTGAGCCTTCTGTCTTTTTGAGAGAGATGGTGGAGTTGCAGTAACTGGGGTTGTGGGCACAGAAGGGTTGGATCACCCAACTTCAGAAAGGGGAAAATAACTACTCAGGAGGGAAGGGGAATCAAGAGCTCAGTGATGGGGAGCACCCTGGGGTACTTTGAGAGTGGAGCAGAATTAGACGTGGCAAGATTATTATATGACATTTATGTTGGGTAGTTAGGGAGTTTCGTTGTGTGATATGCCATAAAGTTCACTCTTCTTTGTCTTTAAGAGATCATCAGAGATTTTTTTTTTTTTTTTTTAAGAATACAGGTATTAGCATGGTAGCACAGACTAAAAATTACTGAGATAGCCCTGGCCAGTGTCGCAAAATGGTTACACTAGGGGTGTCGAACTCAATCAGAGAAGGGGCCAAAATCTAAAATCCAGCCTAAATTGCGGGCCGAATGGTTTACTGAACAGTCATAAACTGTCATTGTGATGGAAACGCAGCGGAGTGCAGTGATGACAGCGCGGTGCGGGCCACATTGCAAGGCCTGGCGGGACGGATTTGGCCCGCGGGCCTTGTGTTTGACACATGTGGGTTACACCATCATCTCAAGAACTGAAAGGTCTCACTTTGATTCCTGGTCAAGGGCAAGTACCTGGGCTGTAAGTTCACTCCCTGCCCCTGGTTGGGGCGTGTTCAGGAGGCCACCAGGCGATGTGTCTTTCTCACATTAATGTTTCTCTCTCTCTCTCTCTCTCTCTCTCTCTCTCTCTCTCTCTCTCTCTCTCTTTCTCTCTCTCCCTCTCTCTCTCTCTCTCTCTCTCTCTCTCTCTCTCTCTCTCTGAAAAGCAATGAAAAAAATATTCTCAGGTGAGGATTAAAAGTAAAAATAGTATCAGACCTAGGCAAGACCATGCAAGCTGCCTTTATTTGGGTTACTGGTGAGTTTTCCCCAGAAAATGCCAGTATCACTGTCACCATCCGGTTCTCTCGGTTCACCTGGTAGCAAAAATGTCAGAATCGTGCCAATAGCCACCGCAACTGGCTGCTCAGACAGTCTCCTTGGGTTCTTGCTGATACCCAGCTTCCAAGGTCTCGTCCGTGGCCACCAGCATCACCGTGTCCTTCAGTCACAGGGACTCGGGGGATGGGCCCCCCGGCGAACCGTCTGCCCACCCTTCCCGCGAGGAAGCATGAGTTTCAGCTACGTGCCAGCCTGCCCTCCCCTGCCTCGCCCGGCCACATCAGGGCCAGCGGGGACCATGTGACTTTCCTAGCGCATTCTACTTCCTTCTGACTCTGCCTCTCTGCCACTGCGATTTCACCTTGAGCCCATTTGGGCACTCCTCTGCCAGTGTCACCGTGTGTGGCGACCGACCCACACACGGGAGTTCCTGGAGGGACCGTCTCCCTCGCTCTCCGCTGCCTCTCTTTCTTGTGGGCACATGGGCCTAGCCGGCCCCGCCTGTGACCCACGGGCTCCGCGGAATTCCTGGGGAGGGTAGTCATAGGGCATGGCACAGCGAGCCCGCAGGGTGACTTCCTGTGACTCCCTCTGCCTGACACCTGGCACGGACCAGGAGGGAGGCTGGCAGGGACCTCGTTGCCCAGAACACTCCTGCTAATGGCTCATTTCCCTACAGTCTCTGCTTCTGCTCCCCCGCCCACCCACCCACCCTCCACCCTGGGATCTTTCTGCCTCTTGTTTTTTTGGAGAAATTGTTTTTTTATTTTATTTATTTTTTTAAATATTTCTTTATTGATTTCAGAGAGGAAGGGAGAGGGATAGAGAGATAGAAACATCAATGATGAGAGAGAATCATTGATCGGCTGCCTTCTGCACGTCCCCTACTGGGGATTGAGCCCACAACCCGGGCATGTGCCTTTGGCTGGAATCGAACCTGGGACCCTTTGGTCCACAAGCTGATGCTCTATCCACTGAGCCAAACCGGCTAGGGCAGAAATAGTTTTCTTTTAAAGGAGAAGAAGCATGCAGAGAATAATACCATGCACATCATTGTTGGCCTCCCCGTGCACAGTTCTCCTCAATATCCTTGGTCTCCGTCCACCCTGCCCCGCCATGGGCTCCCGCCACTCCTGGCTGCCTGAACGTGGGCGGCTGAGTGCTCTGCCCTCACCCGCTGTGAGTAACCGCCCATCCCTCCTCTCTCCAGGGTTCCATGGAGAACGGGCCTGCGGTCTCTGCGGACTCTCAGAAGACAGACCCGGCGATGGAGCCGAAGCTCAGAGCGGTAGACTGGGACAAGGTAACTGGCGCAGGACCGGGTGGAAGGGAGACCGGGCTCCCACGGCCAAGGAGAGGGTGTGCGGAGCCAAAGGCCGGAGTTATTTGTGACCTTCGCCCAGGAAGACGAGGCTGGGAAGCAGACGCCTGCTGCGCACCAGCATCACCTGGCAGCACGCGTGACCGAGGCGGTGGTGGGGGCGGGAGAACTGTGCATGGGGAGCTTTGTACAGAGCCAAACCCAAGCACCCATGGGAGGGTCCCCGGGGACCCCTGACAGCGGGAAGGGCACAGGGCAGGGTCAGCAGGCCCAGACAGACGGCTGGACGGGTGCACGGGCAGAGCTGCCGCAATCACTTGCCAGGGTCACGGTGGGACCTGCTGGGGCGGCGGAGGCAGAGCGAACTCTCTGCAGTGTTTGTCTGCAGGGCCCGACACCGAAACGCTCTTGGTGTGCGGAGCCCAGCCTCTCGGGGGATCAGGCAGGCCCCCTTTGTTGGTCGCAGGTGGAAACGGAACCTCTCTGCATGGGGCCCAGGAGGAGAAGCAGCGTGGCCGGGGGGCCCTGGAGGGAACACAGATGTAGAAGCCATGTCCCTCCAGCCTAGGTCATAGGTCTGTCCCACTGTCATTTTGCCATTTCTTCCTGGAAAAGACACAAGTGGGTCATCCATAGGTGTTCCTGCCTAGGCTGGACAGCAGGTAAGAGACAAGCAGGACAGGCCTCTGTGCCAGGCAGCTCACAATCTGGTGGTAGGACAGTACAATCTGGGGAGTTTCAAGAAGCATGCCTAAGGGACACAGGTGAGCAGAGGAGGGTGAGCCGAGGAAAGGCGGGGGTCTCTGGAAAGCTTACTGTTTTTTTGTTTTGTTTTTAATGTATTTTTATTGTTTTTTTACAGAGAGGAAGAGAGAGGGATAGAGAGTCAGAAACATCGATGAGAGAGAATCATCAATCAGCTGCCTCTTGCACACCCACTACTGGGGATGTGCCTGCAACCAAGGTACATGCCCTTGACTGGAATCAAACCTGGTACCCTTCAGTTCGCAGGCTGACGCTCTATCCACTGAGCCAAACCGGTTTCGGCTGGAAAGCTTAACTGTTTGCCAGGCCCCTTTGGCCAGGACTCTCGGGGATGGTGTCTGTCTCAGGGGAACTGCACCGCCTTTGAGGGAGCGGTCAGCCCACAACAAGGACGTGCCTGTGTGTGCTCTGCGGGAAAGGCTGGGACAGGTTGTTCCATGCCATCCCCCCCCACACCCCCAGAGGCATGTAACCAAAAGGGAGAGAGAAGGCCGGGGAGGAGAAGGCTAGCCGGACCCCACCGCAGGCCCCCAGGGCGCTCCCCGGAACCTGGTGTGCTGGCTCTGAGCCCCAGGTTGGCCACGTGTGCTCAGTGCCCAGGCCAGGGCTGAGGCCGGGGGGGGGGGGGGTGTCTTGCTACAAATGGATGACTTCTCTGGAAGTTTGGGGACTTGGGCTTGCTCTGGATGCGGGCAGGACGGAGGGGGAGACAGCCAGCTTGAATGGTGCAAGGACCCCAAAGCTGTGGAGTCAGGACCTCGCCCTGGGATAGGAGGGAAATGAGGAGGGTGGGACTGAGGGCTGGACAGAGAAGGCGCCTCAGCAGTCAGCTCAGGGCTCACGGCCAGGGGGCGGGACTAAAAGTAGCCATGAGGAGGGATCCTTGGCACCAGCATCTGTGGGCTTGGCTCAGGGGTTGGACGTTGGAAAGAAAATACGTTACTGAGGAAACTGGCCGGGGTTGGAAAAGTATGATCTTGCTTCGGGAGAGGATCCTCCCAGCCTACCGGGGCTGCAGGTCCCCAGCCCCGTCCCTGCACAGGGGTTTGGGTGGGTAGGGGTCAAGGCCACCCAGGCCTGTCCCACCATCACCTGTGCCTCCACCTGAGGGGAAAAGGGACCTCCCCTTCCCCCTCCTCCCCTGGGGCCTGCTCCTCCTGGCTCTTTGCCTGCATGTTCAGACACAGGTCATACCTGACTCACCTTCCCCGCCTCTGTCATTCTTTCACACAACCTTCCGTCTTCCCCATCAGGGCTGAGAGAGAGGGGCAAGGGCTAGACCAGTGGTCGGCAAACTCATTAGTCAACAGAGCCAAATATCAACAGTACCACGTTTGAAATATCTTTGGAGAGCCAAATTTTTTAAACTTAAACTTCTTCTAATGCCACTTCTTCAAAATAGATTCATCCAGGCTGTGGTCTTTTGTGGAAGAGTCACACTCAAGGGGCCAAAGAGCCACATGTGGCTCATGAGCCACAGTTTGCGGACCTCAGGGCTAGACCAAGAGAGGATAAGGAGAACCACCCTAGCAAAGGGCTCCCAGCACCCCTAGGAGACCCAGCCTGGGGAGCTGGGCTTCCCTGGAAGAGGGAAGAGGGAACAGTGCTTTCTTTGCCTCCCCCCCCCCTTTTTTTAAAAAAATTCACCTACCTCTAGGGCAAAGGGACTTGCCAAAGTTATCCCTTTATGTGTTGCATTCAAGGGGAGCTCCTCTGGGCATGGCTGAGGAAGGGAGCCTTGGGCCCCCATGGCCACGCCTCCCCTAGGAGGTGGGACAGAGTGGGCCATGCTGGAAAGAGCCAGGGGACCTGGGTGCTGGGGCACAGGGAGGAGGTAGCGCAGAAGAGCCAGAAAGCCAGCCCAGGGGGTGGTATAGTCTGATTTTCAGGTTCTGCATGGAAGGTTATTGGAACCATTTCTTAAAAAAAAAAAAAGAATATATATATATATATATATATATATATATATATATATATATATATATATATATATATATTTCTGAAGCCGGTTTGGCTCAGTGGATAGAGCGTTGGCCTGCAGACTGAAAGGTTCGATTCCTGTCAAGGGCATGTACATTGGTTGCGGGGCACATCCCCAATAGGGAGCGTGCAGGAGGCAGCTGGTCGATGTTTCTCTGTCATCAATGTTTCTAACTCTCTATCCCTCTCCCTTCTTCTCTGTAGAAATCAATAAAATATATTTTTTAAAATATATATATATATATTTTATTGCCCTGACCAGTTTGGTTCAGTGCATAGAGCATCAGCCTGTGGACTGAAGGGTCCCAGGTTCAATTCCAGTCAAGGCATGTACCTTGGTTGTGGGCACATCCCCAGTAGGAGGTGTGCAGGGGGCAGCTGATCGATGTTTCTCTCTCATCGATGTTTCTAGCTCTCTATCCCTCTCCCCTCCTCTCTGTAAAAAGTCAATAAAATATATTTAAATATATGTACTTGAGTCCCGGTGCACAATATTTGTGCATGTGAGCGGGAGGGGGGGGGTGAGTTGTCCCTCAGCCCAGCCTGCACCCTCTCCAATCTGGGACCCCTCGAGGGATGCCCAACTGCCTGTTTAGACCAGATCTCGGTGGGATCGGGGCCTAAACAGGCAGTTGGATATCCCTCTCACAATCCAGGACTGCTGACTCCCAACTGCTCGCCTGCCTGCCTTCCTGATTGCCCTAACCACTTCTGCCTGCCAGCCTGATCACCCCCTAACCATTCACTCCCTTACAGGCCATCTTGTGTTGATCGCCTTCAACTGCCCTCCCTTGTAAGCCTAGTCCCTGCCAACTGCCCTTCCCTGCTGGCCATCTTGTGTCCACATAGGTGCAGGATCTTTGACTACATGGGGGAAGCCATCTTGAGTGTTGGAGTGATGGTCAATCTGCATATTACTCTTTTATTAGATAGGATAGAGGCTGGGTCCACGGGTGGGGGCCATCTGGTTTGCCCTGAAGGGTGTCCCGGATCAGGGTGGGGGTTCCCTTGGGGCGTGGGGCGGCCTGGGCGAGGGGCCTGTGTTGGTTTGCAGGCCAGCCATGCCCCCTGGCAATCCAAGCAGAAGCCCTGGTTTCTGGGATATATTTACTTTCTACAATTGAAACTTTATAGACTGAAGTGGAGCCAAGCCTCCCGCTCATTCAGTGGCGCAGTTGTTTCTGTTTGGATTTGTTTACCTTCTATAATTGAAACTTTGTAGACTTGGGCAGCAAGGGCAGGCAGAAAGCTTGGCTTCCTCCGTTGCCGGGAAACACCTCCCTCCTGCTCATCTTGGTTAGGTTTATTTGCATACTAGCTCTGATTGGCTGGTGGGTGTGTTTTTGGGTGTGGCTTATGGAATGGAGTGATGATTAATTTGCATATTACTCTTTTATTAGGTAGGGCATATATATTATTGATTTTAGAGAGGAAGGAGGAGAGAGAGAGAAAAAAAAATCAATATGAAAATCATTGATCGACTGCCTCCTGCACACCCCCTACTCGGGATCGAGCCCACAACCTGGGGATGTGCCCTGATGGAGAACGGAACCATGATCTCCTGGTTCATGGGTTGAAGCTGAACCACGGAGCCACATCCGCTGGGCCATTAGAACCATTTCTAAGTCGTCCCTCCGATCGCCCAGCCAGGCAGGATCCAGGCTTCCTTGTGGGATGAGAATCAGGTTCCAGCCCCTCACCCTGCACTATACCCTACACATCTCCCGTTCTCTGGAGCCTCGCCTGCCTGGGGCTCGCCCAGAGCAGGTGACAGGAGCTTCCCGCTGTTCCCGGCTCCGGACACACCTGTCCCGTTTGTCCCACTGCTTCGCTGTGTGGGCTCCGAGCCCTCCCCTGGCAGCCTCCTCCGTCTGCCCACTGTTCGGTCCAGCTTTCCGATACCAGACGAAACTGGTGTGGCTTAAAGTGTTTGCAGAAGTCCCTGCCCAAATCCCTCTGGGCAGCAGAGTTAGACCCAATTAACATTTCTTTTATTGAGCTCTTACCACTGGAGGCCAAGCACTTTGAATTTATGATCCAATTATCTAATTTAATACCCTCACAACAGAATAGATAAGATTCTCAGATCCCAGTTTAACGACGAGGAAGAGCTTCAGCCGCCTGCCCAGAGTCACTCTGCTGGTTCGCTCAGCACAGCCAGTGCTTACTGCTGAGCCCCTCCCCCGTGGGTGTCCTTCCACGTGTCCTGCCCACCCTGGAGGCCTGTGCCCGGGAGA